CGATGTAGTAAACGAAGCCGTAATCAATAAAGTTTCTGAAGTCCCAGTACTCGCAAAAGCTCTTGACAAGTCGCTTATGGTCAGTTATCCTGAATTCACTCCCTTTTCACTTGAAGAACCGCATGAAAGATTGCCAATCCTAAAAGACCCCACTTTGGTTAGGGCTGCACAGTTGGCCGTTCTTGATGTTGCTAAAGACCACAGAAGTAAAGAAGACGAACACTTTGTTGTAAAAATGTTTAAAGTCATCGAGCGGGAATTTCGAAGAAAGCTTAAGGATCGCTTACATTCAGCAGTACCAAGGACCCACGAACAATAAAGTAGGTCAACCAAGGTATTTTGTTCTCTCTTTGATGCCATTTTTGTTAAAATAATCACATTTTAAGCAATAATTCCCCTTGACATGAGGTAAACCACAACTTCACTCGCGTCCGCCATTTTGTTTTGAAGTGTTCATGAAGCGCGCAAGGGTCGCATGGGATTGATTCTTTTTCGGGAAGCGCGATTCGCAATCTGATTGGCTAATCTATTTTCGTCAGATCACCTGGTTCTATTACACGATTGTTTACAGCCGAGTTCGTAATGTGATATTTCGTTTTAGATCGGAGGGCGATCGGGAGACCCGAAGGCAAACTTCTGACTTGGAAAAAAAAAAAACTAAACGCGTTGCATTTTATGACTCGTGCCCGGCCAAGGGCCTGGTCACGAGTAATAAGTGTCTTCATAGTACGATGGTCTAAGAGGGTAGCTAAAGGTATGCTCTAGTGGGCGGCTACCCCCTCACTCCCTGGCCTTTTGGTTAAGACTAAGTTTTATGTTCACTCGGGAAAGCGTGGAAGAGCCGAAATCTCTAACCGTAACGTAAGCCGATTCGACGCCACAGCTTCATAGAATGTCTCGGGGGAATCGTCCCAAACTTTTTTCATTTTGTTTTCTTTCCTTTTTGTTTATTATCTTTCGCATGTCCGGGGGGTGCATATTTCACACAGTTTAAACGCCCGAGTTCGAGTCCTGATGTGGGAATTTTTTTCTTCTTTTTCGTTTGATAATCTTCTTTTCTTCTCTTTTTCTTACTTTTTTTTCTCTTCATTTTCCTTTCGAGTTAAATAATAAKAAGAGACAGGACACTCTGATGTATGTAGTAGCAGTAGCAGGGTCTGAAGGGTTAACCGACAAACGACAAATGGACAAAATAACAACTGACTAGCGACAAATTTGAACAAAATTTACTGAATACCGACAAAACATATTTACTGACTGGCGACATTTTCCTTAAAATAAATATTTTTAGGCAATATTCTAAGATATTAGCTCCTTGAATACAAGTTTTTTGTATTTTTCTTCGGATTGGCTTCTTGAAGTTTTGATTAGCCACAATAAAACTTTGCCTCCCAATCAAAGACTCAAAGGCTCAAGGTCTGCTGTTGGCATTTTAGAAAGCATTCTGTTGATATGACGCACCGTTTTAGATGCATTCAAACTTTAATGTTTATCAACTTTTTTTAAATAACCGACTACCGACAAATGCCTAGAATTTTAACTGACTACCGACAAATGCTCGAAATTTTAACTGACTACCGACATTGAGACCCTGTAACCTGAAAAATTGCAGAGCAAACAATATAGTGCACCGACTGGTTCTTTTTGTTACTGGGTGGATGCCTTCTAACGTCATTTTTGTAAAACTTTGTAAAAGCTATTTCATTATATCGTATTTATATGATATTTTTAAAATGGAATAGAAAAATGGAGGATAAAATTTCCTTTTTTGAGGTACAAGACGTTGAAGATAGCGGTATAAGGCGAAAATGGCCCGTGCCTGTAATAGCCTCTCTCACAGGCGTTCTTAGTCTCGCCACGAAAATTCACACGAGTGAATTTTCGTGCGAGACTAAGAACACCTGTGAGAGAGGCTAGTGCTGTAAAATAACGCACTATAATGGCGTCTCCAGGAAATATAAACATACAATATATAATTACTCAAAGGTACTCAAATGGTATTGAGTGAATTAATGCCAAAGTCTCCCGTGCCATCGTTTTCAACCATTCACATGAGATTCAAAAAGATAGAAGACCGGCGGCCATGTTGGAGGAATGCACAACAAAAAACTTTTGTTAAAGTTAATTCCTCCAAGATGGCCGCTGTGACGTAACCAAGATGATGAATTGAATTTATTATTAGGGTCCAGGAAAGTTTTCTTATTTTTTGCCGGAATAACATTGAAAATAAACTGGAGCTTGTCAAATTTGTCTTAATTCTTGCACTTTCCTTGACTGATTTCGATCAAACTCTTGTCCTTGGGAGAGGTGCACGTGCCAGCCTGTGTTTGCCCGATCTTGGCCGACACCCTCATAAAATTACATTGCAATGTATACTAGCTGCTGAAGTGTACATCTCCTCATGTGAAGGTAACAAAGTGATGTTTGCATTTGTATAGTATGTACTGTCATCGCGTCACAGTAGCAGGATTGACTTACATTTTCTGTCTCTGACCTTACCATCAAACCTTGGCGGCAACCATAGCAACCTCTCGCAAGCTCAAAACTTTGAACCATTTTTATGAAGCAAACAGTTATAATTGCTGCGCACAAAGAAATCTAGTAAACTTGTAGTTTGAAATTGATCCAAAGATACACTTGGGAAAGTTCTAAACTACGCATGACCTATCAAGGCACATAGCCAGTTCCAGTTTCTCTGAGTCAAAGCAATTGTCAAAGCCGCCGTAATCCATGTAGGTTTATTTTCTTGTGAAACGGATCGAAATTGTTTCTGTTAAAAATGATAGATGTCAGCACTAAATTCCCTTACATCTTTATATATGATTGGAATAAGTAAAACTATTCAGACGCGGGTATTTTATTATTTTTTAGGTCGAGAATAGATGATTTAGCAAGACCAAAGACTTCGAAAGCCTCCTGGATGACAAGTTATTGGTAAGGGACTGAATGGTAACCAGTTTTTTTTAAATGATTCACAACAATCCTTCAAAACATGACTTATAATGTATAGAACAATCAGTGCAAAAAAAAGAAAACTAGACATTCTTATGCTTGTGTCTAATTAATTGTGCATACGGTAAAGTCGGTAAATGATAAACTGTTGAAATCTAATTCTAAACTTAAACAATTACAAATTAATTAAGTCAAAACGGGAAAATGAAAAACGTACACAAAGACGTCTCGTTGACTTACGAAAGTTGTTTGAAATCTCTCGTGATATGAAAAACTGCATACATCCAACCATTTTGTAATGTCATCAGTTGTCCCATATCTGCAAGCCATGAAGAATATGGTTTCACTTTATCATTCTCACATGATTTTCAAGATGGCTTATTAAATTCCATAAATATTTCAAACACGAGTTTGAATGATTTTTTTTAGGCCCGTGAACTGGTCCAATCAGAGTCTTATACGACCGTTGACAAAGGCTGCAGTTAAAGCCAAATCCACGCCTCGTTTAGAAGAACTTGCCGCACCCAAAAAAAACTTTCAACTGGAACATCCAGAACGATGTGACAGGTAAAGTGTACCTCAGTATGAACTCGCTTAATCCATGAAATTGTAATCATTTGTCTGGAATCTGTTTAAATATCAAAAAATGCCGTCTGTTCATAGGAACAAATGGCCTTTTATATGACTGAGTAAATCATGCAGTGGCGGATCCAGGCATCTTATAAAGGCTGAAATTACCGTGACTAACTCTAATTAGTATAAACATACTAATGGTCTATCACTCATACTGCGCTGTGATTGGCTACTCTACTAATGGTCTAATTTGTGATAGACCACTCGCGGGAAAACCAATCTCATTAATAAATTATTTTAAGGATATTTCAATTTGTTTTCATTATTTGACCAATTAGTATGTTAATTATATAGCCACATATTAATCCCAAATAGGTAAAAGCTGGGTTTTTCGTTAATTTTGGAATCCTGTCCAATTAAGAAATTAATTGGACAGGTTTTCAATTGGGTTTTTGTTAAAAGCTGTGGTTGGCTTTTACCTATTTGGGATCAATATGTGGTTATATAATTAATAGGTAATAAGACTTCATGCTGTCCAATTAAGAAATAATTAGACTCGAAAAATTCCTCTGACTGCCAAATTGGACTCGGCCACGGCCTCGTCCAATTTTTGGCAGTCCTCGGAATTTTCCTCGTCCAATTATTTCTTAATTGGACAGCATGGAGTCCTATTACATATAATTATACTAAAACAATTAGACCTCTCGGTCTCGTGGACTACGAGCTAATAGCCCATTCGGCCTCGCGGACTCGGCCTCATGGGCTATTAGCTCGTAGTCCACTCGACCTCGAGGTCTAATTGTTAAATAAAATGAGTTGAATTTAAGAAACTGAGAAATTAACTCTTATGATCTCTTATGCACTTATCATAATTTGCACGCTTATTACTATTATGGTCATTAAAGGGGGCACACCCTTTATCCAACCTGAAAATCCAGAAACTCTGGACGAGCTCTGTAATGCCCTTTTTACATGTACATGCTTTCTTCTTTTTCTTGTAGGAAAGAGTTCGTATACAGCTGTGGCCGTGGGTCGATGATTTGGAAACCACCACAGTTTTCTCGAGACACAAATTWATAACTATTAAATTAACATTAATTTCGAGTATATTTTTTATTATGCTTTTTTCATACACAAAGTCATTTAAACCTGATTTCATCATAAGATTTTATCCAATTTCCAGTATCCAGTTCTTATACGTTTATCATCATACTTTTTTATTGCGCTATYATTTGCGATGAGCACTAAGGTCACTAGTCAGATCATCATGGTGGATGGGCAAAGCACTCATCACCCCGCACTGATCTGCTCATCTGAATCATACTCGGCGCGGAAAAAAAATACAAAAAAAAACATATCTAGCGAGATTTTGTTGTACTTGTTTTCATGACTCTACAATATATTTAGCTTGAATGTCTGAATTCAATACAGACCCCATGTTATAAGAGCATGCATATTACTATGTGCCAAGCTGTGCCATATATAGTCTTTTACTGCACACATAGATGAGAGATCAAAACTAGAGTTCTACAAATTGAGATTAGCACCAATTGAATTTCTGTGCTGGACAAATTAATTAACTCCATTAATAACCCACTTTCGATAATTCTGGCTGGCTGATAATCCACTAAAGAACTGAGTTTCAGGGGAAACAAAACAATAATTATCTGCTGTTTGCAGGCTAGTCCTCTGTTATTTTAATTCGCAGACAAACTAAACAAAACACCGAAACAAAACAACACTGAGATTTGGTTCGACTGCACGCAGGCTATCGGAGCCGCMGAGTTTCCTTTGTCTGCCTTTGTCCGTGGTTAGTCAACCAAAATATTGAAAGTGGTATTTTTACAGCAAGGTTTCTCTCTCTGTTTGATAGTCGATATCTATAACGTTGATATCAACTGTTGTATAGAGTTCACCCTTCACTCGTTTTTCATCGCAATCAGTCCCTAATGAGAGTGATCTTACGAGTGAATTTCGATGAACTCTGTCTGTACTTTTAGAAGATCCTTCAGGACTTAAGAGGCTTTGAATGGGTTGATCATCATTGTCTGTTCCCGCTGATTCGTGAATGTTTTCCAGTGAAATACATGGAACAGGAGGTAGTGGTGAGTCTTGGATTTCTTCCTCTGTTATTGTTTGCGGACCAACGTTCCTGCACACAATATAAAAATCTTTTTTCTTTCCTTTATGTCGACCAAGTTGTGTAGTGATGGTGGAGGCGGAGGTAGTGTTGGTGTTTGTGTTGTTGGTAGTGGTGGTGATGGTGATGGTAGTGGAGGTGGAGGTGGAGGTGGAGGTAGTGTTGGTGGTAGTGATGGTGGAGCTGGTTGTGATGGTGGTGGTGGTGGTGGTGGTAAATCCATGCATATATGAATGCATGTTCCTCATCGTTTCGATGGACGAACAACAACATGAATGAAAGAATGGATGAGCAAATCAAATATTTAAACGTATGGTTGTATGGATTGTTATGTGAACGGATGCATGGATGGGCGAATGATGAATGTATGAATGAAATAACCAAAATACCTTGGACTATTCGATGATGAGTGCTCAAAAGCTTCCTTGGGCTCCAAATACATGTTCTGATCATCGCCTTCGTCCATGAAAATACTGATGTAAGCATCGCCTGCTTCTTGCTGCAAGCAAACAAAAATTGACTTTATAATCAAACAAACATATGAACTTTAATTGAATGGCAYAGTAGGCAATCCGTATAGCGACACCATCAAGTTGTGAAGCAAAGTATGATGAATGTTGTAGTCTTCGGACTTTTTCATGTCCTCATAACCCGTTTTTTCTTTTAATTCATGTCGTATAAAACCAAGCTGTTTGTGGAGAATCTATYAGAACCAAAACTGGAAATAAGAAAAGAGCTTTGACAATCCCTCTATCAGGTTTTGCCAGCATCATCTGACCTACCCCAGARATCTTTTTCTCGATAATTCGTTCTATTCTTCGCACTAGTTCAGAGAAGGTCGGTCTTTCACTCGGCTCTTGGAGCCAACAATCTCTCATGATGGCATATATTTCAGGTGGACAATCCTTTGGCTGTCTCATTCGCTGGCCTCCAGACAAGTAGTCCATCAACTCCTTTACTGGGATATCAGGGTAKGGTGTGCCTCCCAGCGTCTGTGTCTCCCATAACACAATACCAAATGACCAGCTGATTCATTATGAAAAGACAAGTTCGATAAAATGATTGACTTTTAAACCAAGCAAACAGAGTATAGGAGGTTTGCATATTTTCCAACGCGGGATTTTGGTATGAGATTGCCGACCACATACGAATGCAGACGTACAAGTTATATGCCGCTGTACAGTTTAACGGCGCTTTGCAGTGTAAAATATACTTGGAACGAGGGCTCAAATAACCTAGTTCCCACTATACCAGGCTTTTTTTACACAAAAAAATGATTCAGTCTGAAATTTCAAACTTGAAGTTTTTAATTTCCAATAAAGTTTGAATTTCATTTTCTTGTAAGCGATGAAATATCGCACTCTTTATATTTAGAGTGTTTACACTGTGTTTGCACTCTATACTGTTCAGCTAGGTTGTTAACAGGGGGAGGGGTAGGGGGCTACTCTGCATGATTGTTTCAAGGAATAGGACTTACATGTCCGTTTTTAGAGTATAAACTCTATCAAAAAGTGACTCAGGAGCCATCCATTTTAGAGGCAACAGCCCTGTCGTCTCTTTGACATACAGATCGGATTTGTAAATATCACGTGCTAGACCAAAGTCAGCGATCTTCATGACGTAATCTTCACCAACAAGGACGTTTCTTGCGGCCAAGTCACGATGGACGCACTG